AGTCTCACCCCCTTCTTCAGGATTTTCCTTCTCATCCGTAAGGATGAAACTTGCATGTCCAACAGTTCATACTGTGATCCAAACTTCAGCCAAGTCAAAAAACAGACAAATACACTTGAGACCTTTGCAGGAAGAGGTGGAAGAGTTCATACACACCCTATCTGCCAAATCCTTATAACCCATCCCTTACTAAAGAAAAGCAAGGCTCAGAAACATATAACTAAAGAAAAGGGCTCTGACTTAAGTCTGTCTCACTGCTCTGAACCATGGAGAGTACTGTACCCACTGATGTATTTTTTAGACCCCTCATGCACACACAGATCTGTGAATTCACTCCCCCCCCCAATTATCTTTTCTCTCTGACCTTTCCCTTCCTCTTTTTAGCTTGAAGCTTTTCAAGATTTCACCACCCACTCCTTCCTGCCATAAGGGACAAACTGCTTTTTGTCTCCATTAGCTCGTGCTGAACCAGCTTTGCATTTGAACTGCAAAGTACCTCCAGGCAGTAACAACCTCTTGTCAGAGAAGACCATCAGCTTCCATCCTCTGGGCCGCTCTCTCCTGGCTTTCTGCATTGTTGCAGGGACCCGAGATTCTCATTCCCATCTTGCACCCATTTGGGTATGAGTGACAGGAAAGTGACAAACCAGGAGATGTTCAGTTTGGTTTTAAATCTCACACAGGCCTCGGAACTAATGAAGAGCTCTCTCCTGGCTTTTTGTGAGATCTCCTCACTGGCAGAGCATGGGAAAATGAAATGTCCTTGACTTAGGGTAAACACTACTTAGCAACAATTAAAACATTCCTGTGTTATCAAAATGTTCTCCAAAACACAGCACTGCACCAGCTACTAGGAAGAAAATCAACTCTCTCCCAGCCAGGACACTGGGGAAGGGATGGTTCTGTGGGTGGGTTGTAGCATCCCCTGGTGTCTGAGAGGATGGTGCTGAGCTCTTTGTAGAGATGCACGGTGGAGGAATGAGAGGCAGGGGCCATAAACTGAAATATGGGGGGGATATATCCACCCAGATATGAAGAAGAAGAAAAAAAAATCATTAGTTAATAATTTGAATTAATTTCATAGTGAGGCTGTGGAATCTCCATAGTTGAGGGCTTTCAAGACTCAACGGGATAAAGTCCAAGGCAACGCTCTCTGAAACACTTTGATTTATAAAGATTGACTGGACAACACGCAGTGTAATATCTGAATAATTTTATGATTAGGGATTTTTCCTAATGGTTTATGTCACATAATGATCCTGCCAACTAGTGCATTTACATTACATTTTGGTATTTCTTTTTAAATTACAGTCTGAAATGGCTTTGACAAATGCTTGGTCATTCATCTTCTGCATCGTGTCCCATTTTTCTGTTCATTAAATTTATTTCAAAACATACTCTACACTCTCAGATTTGAATGAAATTCTGCTTAATTGTTTTAAACATCCTTTATTGTGTTGTCTTAATCTGTAGAACTGTACTGCCAGTGAAACAAGCTGTTATAAATCATTGCAGAAACATGAAAACTGTTTTCAATGCCTTACACTAAAGCACTTTCCACTAAGGGAGTAAAGATTTTATTTTGCTGTTTCAGGAAAAAATAGTAGAACCAAAATCTTGGCATGTGGAGAAAGGAAACCCCCTATTTCACCCTTCACATCAGGTGATACTGCCCAGAGTTCTTCTTTTCGTGAGAAACATAGTCCTGTGATTAAACAAAGCCCCATAACCCAACTGATCATGTAACAAAGACACTGCTGAAAATTCACAATCTAGTCACTACATGGGTGTACAGCTCCCAAATACATAAATTATGTTTAGCCTGCGTCAGTAATTGCAGCAGCTACAGAAAAAAAATAATAGGAGAAAGAAATTCAGGATAATATATCAACTGAAACCAGGAATTTTTGATGTGTAGTGGAGCCACACATTCAGTAATAACTCGCTGCAAGGGCCTGTTAAGTAAAGTTACAATTCTGATTGTTGGGGTAATGGGAAAATGAGCTTTGTGACGTTCTTACAACTCATGGAGGGCACAACTGGAGATACTCAACTGTCTCATGAGTCTCTACGTGCCAGAATGTCCCCTTCCATTGTTAGGACGAGATGCATTATGCAAGGTAAGTGCTCAAACAACGTCTTGGAAAGCTCTATGAATCTCACAAGAAAAAGCATGGAAGGCTCTGATCTGTTCACTAATGAACCAGAGCTCAGAGGAACCTGGGACTGACATCCTGAACGCTGCTTAGAGAGTCTCAGTCTGAATCAGACACCAATAAAGAAGCCTTGTCCTCAGGAGTATAGGTAGGGTTTGAGAACAATAAACCAAATAATGGTGGAAAAAATAATTATTTGACTGTTTTGGATTTAAAAGATGCTTTCTTTTGCATTCCAGAGGGTGAGCAGAGCCAGGCTCCTAATGTTCAAGTGGGAAAATATGACAATGGGAAGAAAGGTGCAGCTATCCGTGTGGAACATCAATGGTGGGGGCACTATTTTGGGAGGGTCACTGAGTGCTACAGGGATTTTTGCTGTTGTTCTCTTCACCCTGTTGTTGTTCTCTTAATATTAACCCTATTATGCTTTGTCTTAATTGCAGCACTGTGTATTTGCTGCACATATTTTGCATATTTGATTTGGGAAATCATGAAGCAATTGACTGACCTGTCATCCCCAATGATTCATTTTGGGAAAGTATGTGATGGTTGTAAGAAGTGAGGCTCCTGAGTCTTGTCATAGAGGCAGGCCTCATAGCCTCAAAGAGGGGGAATGATGAACAACTCTCAAACAGATAAATTATGCTTAACATGTCCCAGTAACTGCAGCAGTGAGAGAGAAAAGAATAGAAGAAAGAAACCTGAGGTAACGTATCAGCTGAAATTAGACGCAAGGGAATGCTGAACCAGCAAACCAAGGACACTTGGTGAAGCAACTGAGGTAATTCCAGATTGCAAGGAACAAAACCAGGCCAGTGCATCAGGCCAGGAAAAGGTACTTCTGGCAGGGGGTGGTGGAGAAGGCCAGGAGAGCTTAGAGATGTGTTCTCCTGCTGTGGGCAATGTCCAGCTGTGGTGGTGCCTGTGAAGCACCAGCCAGAGATCAGAAACAAGCCCTCTGAGTCACAGAGGAAAAGGGCTGGTTCTAGAGAACAGTGGGAGTGCTGTGGGGTCGGACCCATGGACTAGAGTAAGGCAGTTTGAAGCCCACCAAAACAGCCAGGAATTGAGAGCAGCTGATCAATCGAGGCAGCAGTCAAAGGCAGAGGGAGTGAGAAGTAAGGGCTGATCCTGCACCTGACTTGGAAAGCCCCTGAGTGAATGAAGCATGACTTTTGCTTAACAGCTTAGAGCCTGTAAAAAAACCAAAACAAAGCAAATGAAACCAAACCAAACCAAACAAAAACCAACCAACCAACCAAACAAAACCCAAACAAACAAAAAAAACCAAAACACCAAAACCACAAAAAATGAGGGAGGAGAGCAAAGTCAGCAGAAGAGGGAGCATCCTGACCCAGTGACTCTAAGAAAACAGCACAAGGATTTGAGAAAAAGCTTGAGAGCTCAGCTGCCCTGAAGCAGTGTGTAACAAAGACAAATTACACTGTGTGTCACTTTGCTTTCTCTCACTCATATTGAACAACCTCAGCCATACCCTGCAGCCTCTGGCAGCCCTGGCTCAGCCCAGGTGAGTGGTGGCACAGTTTGCCACCCTGGCTGGGCTGGAAAGGCTCGCTGTGAGGTGGAAAAAATGCTCCCTCTCCTGTGGAGGGGGCCCTCACCCACTTGTTTTTTGCATGAAGGGATGAGAAGGCTGAAAGGGTCCCCTGGAGGGCACAGGACCAGCATTCCCAGAGGGCAATACTGGTGGGACTGGGGCACAGCAGCTTGCCTGGGCTCCTCTGGAACCAGCAGGTTTCACCCCAGGTGTGAGTGAGCTAACTCAGTGAGCTGACTTTTTTGGGGAGGAAAAGAGGGTTGTTGCTCAAGGGCAATATTTCCAAGTACCTCTGCCATTTGCCCCTGACACCCTATCCTGCAGTACAGCCAAGAGAGGAGGAGCTGTGTTGTGAGGAGTTACATTTCTCCTGTTCACTAAACAGCAGGAGGAAAGCTGGCATACAGAGAAAAGGAAAAATACCAACACATTGCATTATTGTTTCTTGAGCTATCGTGAAACTGTCACCTTCAGAGTATGGATTTGGCATTTGTCTGACAGAGCCCCTCCAAGGACTGTCACGGAGACAGTTTCACAAAGTCAAAAATTGTTTACTCAGGTGACAGCTACAACAGATTCAGAAACCTCTGTTGATAAATGCATTTGCTGTGTTACTGCTAAATATCCTAAGGCTAGAAAGACAGTGATTAATTAATAATTTACAATTCACTAAGTTTAAGTTCACCATTAATTAAGCTCAGTTTCAGCTGGGTATCAGCTGCTGAATAGAGGTATAGAGGTGGGGGTGCTCTTCTGTGAGGCTTCAGAGAGACTTTTTACAAGGACATGTAATAGGACAAGGGGAATGGCTTTGAATTGAAAGAGAGTAGGTTTAGACTGGATATTAGGAAGAAATTCTTCCCTGTGAGGGTGATGAGGCCCTGGCACAGGTTGCCCAGAGAAGCTGTGTCTGCCCCATCCCTGGAAGTGTCCAAGGCCAGGTTGGACAGGGCTTGGAGCAACCTGGGCTAGTGGAAGGTGTCCCTGCCTGTGCAGGGGGGTTGGGACTAGATGATCTTTTATGCCCCTTCTAACCCAAACCAGACTCTGTGATTCTAGGAACTTCTAGCTGTGACATCTCCACTTCACCCCTGACACGACTCAGGTGTTGGGATAACTCCGTGTGCAAGGTTAGCAAGAGGTGCTGACTCATGGCAACTCTGCATATTGAAAGAGCAAGCCTGGTCGTTTTCCACAGAAGGCAACTATTTCTCGTGTGAGAATTGGTTTCGTTTCTCCTGATTCTTGTCACTGTCTGTAGGTGGAGCCTGTAAATAAAAAAGCAACCAAAGAAGTTCAGAAAGGTTACTACATCTCCTTACTACGGGACAGTTACAAGGGTAAGTTCCTTTTTTCCCACTTCTAAGAATAATAATGCAATTTTTGACTGTTGTCTTCATTTTAATGTGAAAAGGCTCCATAAGAGTCCAAAATAAGTGTGTTTAAACAAGGTTGCCAGGAGTAGGATTTGTTGCTTTCCGGGGTGGGGAAAAAAGAAAAGACATTACTATTATTTCCTCTTTAAGAGGAGACAACTGAGAGATGGCATTTAAGTTGGAACACATGTTTTAAAGTACTGGTAGGAGGAGACAGTGTTCAGCAACATGATCTAGCCAGCAGTATTCATGTGTAGCATCATAAGCTGCTTTTTCTTTTTTTTCTGAGAAGACAGCTAGAATTAACAAACATACAGCCCAGAGACTGTGTGGTTTACCCAAATATCCTGAAGTATGCCAGCCAGAAGTCCAGATGCTCCTCAGGCTGGACAGAGGGTGAATAAATGCAAGAGCTGTGAAGGTTCAGCACCGCAGCCCTGCACTTTGGGGTTAAAAGGGATTTTATTGATAAGGGATTTTTTTTATCTCCTTGAGATGCAAAGCCAGGATCTTTAGAGAAGAACAAGGCAGCTCCTCTTCAGAACCATCAGCAGGTTGGTGCTTCGTGCAGGTGTGGATGTGCAGCACGGTTCTCTTTGCTGTGCCAGGAGAGGTTTCCACACACAGGCAGGTAAAAATCTAAAAGTAAAGCTCAAGGAAAGGAAGGAGGCAGGGGATGCTTTAGGATTTTATCTCTGTATTTGACTGGATCTTAGGTATTTACACACCTGTCCAAAAGCACTGGGGCCAGAGGTGTAGAGAAAAGGTCCCTCCCTCTGCACCGTTTGCGGTGAATGAATTCAAGCGGGACAGACTTTAGTTCAGGAAGAACTCTCTTGTAACTTTATTACTCCATTTCTATATACAGAACCTGGGTCCGTTCTGTAAAGAAACAGCCAGGCAGGTGTTTCTTTATCTCCCCACATACCACACATCCCCATGTGACTGCTTCCAGCCACAGAGAACAGCTGCGCTTCAAGTTTGACCTTGTGATTCTTTTCACACACACGCTAATCTTAGCTCTGGCTCGCTCAGAACCACAATATTTTTGCTTCAGTGTTTTCTTCTTCTTCTTTAGTCATCCAGGTGGCTGATGTTGTCCGTCCAGCTGCTCCTACACGGAGGTGCCCCGCAGGCATCCCTGATGGAGGCACTGGCAGTGGGGTGGTGGGGAAGAGGGAGGCTGGGGAGGGGTGAAAATCGACCTGGAAACTCCCTGAAATCTCGGGAGGTCAGTTTGCCCTGTTGGCTCGGTCTCCAGCATCGTTTTACACCCTCTGGTGGCCGATGTGCACCGAAGGCAATCACAAACATCTCAGCTCCCCTACCTCTGGAATGAATGAATTATGCAAGCATCCAGACATCCCGCGATGCCCACCTGGTGTGCTTATCTTTGGGCAAATGCCACTGCCTCAGAGACCTGGAAGGGATGGGGGAGGGCTGAGGATTCATGAGAAGACTCAGCTATCACCCCTACACAGATCTAGGAGGGGTGAAGACCACAGGGTGCACACACACCCTAGCGAAGATTCCTACAGGCAGCGGCAGAGTAAACCAACACGTGGATTTCTGAGGTTATCAAGCTATTCTCCCCCTAGACCTGGAAAAAGGTTAGTAAGGTGGTGCAATCCTTCCTGTGCCACACGGGCGTAGTGATTTTTTTGTGTACTGAGCCCTAACAACATCGGATGAAAGAAAGAAGGAGAGGGGAGGAAAAAAAAAAAGGCGCCGAAATGGGCCAGAATCCACAAGTGAAACGCGACACCGGGATGACGTGATGACACAAAGTCTGCCAACAATTTCCCTTCCCCAGGGCCGCCCCTGCCTCCTCCCTTTCCTTGAACTACATAAGTGCTTTGTTGCTTTGTAATTGTGAATTCTGCAAGGCCAAAGACAACGTTTTGGAAGCAAGAGGGTCTCACTGAAGCTTTGGTTCAACGGGAAGAACCCTGACCTGACTATAATCCACAGCAATAGATGGCAGAGCTGTTATTTAGGTACTGCATTGGCAATATTTAGATATTGTATTAGCAATAAATCTAATCATAATTATCCACATAATCACTGTATCCTACTTTTCACCCCTGTCCCAGAATCTTCTCTAGACTACTCTGCTACAGCAGAGTGGTTTTTTGTCTAAGCTCGTTTTACACGTTGAAGGTATAACTTACATTGTGTCCAATCATCCTATTTTGACATCTGCTTAAATTAGAAAACCTGTAAACTTAATTCAAGCAAAGAAATTAACAAAACAGGAAGTTATTTCAAGCAAAGATGTGTTTCTCCTAACTTATTTCCCCAAGTGTTTAACAGATCCTTGTTTTGGCAGAGGGAGGCCAAAGAACATCAAGCTTTGAAAAAATACTGATGGGGTGTTTTTTTTCTTTAAATCTCTCTCTCTGGAAATCACTTTCCCTGGAAAATGTCACATCAAAAGCTTCTAGTTTCCTCAGACATCCATAGAAAATAAACCAAAACTTTTACATAAAGAGGAGTCGAACAAGAAAATAAAAAGTCTCCTAGCTCTCCCTTCTCTGACATCATGTCAAGCAAAGTCTGCATTTGGGGTGAGGGTTTTAAGCTATAGAGGAGGGGACCAAGATGCAAAGCCTCTAAAATATGTGTCAGACTTGCCTCTGACAAGTGTTTCTACTGCAAGAGAGGTGAGTTGGCTGCGCAGCAGAATATGGCTTGGTGTGTCCCTCTCTCATTGCTGGTGGCTCACCCATGTAGACCCTCATTGTGCAGCCCACAGCCCTACACTCCTGACTCAGGAAGTTAAGGATGCTCACACTCTCTCCAGTCATGCCCACCTACTGACTGAGCTTCTCCAGACACCTTTCAGCAAAATATTTCACTGAGGAAAACCAGCTTTTAGCGAAAAACGGGTGTAACTTCGCCTCTCATCCCCAAATAAATACTGTTTTTTCTGTGGCAGTTTCATTCTTTCACACTGGAGTCACTCATTGCCCCATGTTTGATTTCAGAAGCTGTACCTAAGAGCTGGACCAGGCAGTAACCACTGTTTAGTGAATCCCTTATGGACAACCTGCGTGGTAGCCCAAGAAATCGGCAGACCATGGATAAAAGGAATGCAGCATTCAAATCACCTTCTGAAAGAACCAAACCTGCCCCGAAGATAGAAGGGTTTGCATTTCCCTTCTTTAAACAAGCTTTAGAAGGTGTTGCAGTGCCTCTCCCACCAGAGACAGAAGAAGAAGCTGTTCAGATGTCAGAGAACATTTTCCAGAGGAGGCCTGACTATGAGCAGAACGGCTTGGAGACAGAGTATTCCGGAGAACAGGACAAGGTAAGGCAAGAAGAGGACACAGATCCTCCCCATTCTTATTCTCTTGGTTCTCTTTGTGCCCCAAAAATTAATTCCTTTGTCTCTTTTTGGGCAATCTGCACTTGTTATGTCTAAGGAGTACTTTTGGATCAGGGCCAAGCAGTCATTTGTGCAACTAGGAAGACAGGTACCTGCAATTAATCTGCAGATATAAACAACTAAAAAAAAAGGATGGCTGCAGCCTAGAAGCCCATTTAATGTGTGACATGTATCTCTTTCATTCTTAACAACACGTTGAGCAGAAGTCCTAAAAGCTGAGGTAGATTTTACTTGAGGCTCTACCTTCAACAGGAATGCAAAGAAAGGTTGATAATAACCTTCTTAGATATTTGACACTGGAAGCAGATTGGTTTTAAGTTTGTGACATAGTTAATGAAGTTTTTTGAGAAGTTGCTAGCTATTAAACATCAGTGGGCAGGGGGTACCAATAAGGTTTCAGTGCCTGCCTCCAGTAAAGTGTGCAGTCTTCCTCATCCTGAAAGAAAAAATCTGCTCTGTTTGAGTACATCTGATTGACATACATACTTTTAGAGTTGGCTTTCTTGGACAAAAGTGATGGAGAGAAACTTCAGTTTTTCTTTTCAAAAAGTCAGGTTTGAGTGTGCCTGGCCCAATATGTCTGAAACATATTGGTGTTCTCAAAATTGCATTTCTAAATGCAGCAGTCAGACTGGAACAGGGAGAAAAGGCCAAGGCTGATCTTTATATACTTTATTTGAGCATATTTAACAGCAGATGGACCAGTTTTGTAAAAGACTGGAAGTTATCTGGCTTGTTTTCATGTAAATGAGGAGCCTGTGTTAACGTCTGGCACATGTATCAAAACCAAAAAATGACAATAATCAGTCATTTAACACAACCCACTCATATTCATTCCTTACCCAAGCCTAAAATGAGGCAAAGAAAGAAGAGCCATGATGATCTAAAAGTCTTTTAGCCACCTGTTGAGGATGCTACAACAGAACACTTTTGGTGTCTGTGCAAAAACTGTATCTTCAAACTCCAAAACAAAGATTTAATAAGCTATTCTGTGCTAAATTCTGTGATTACTAGTTTTCATTTGCATACACATTTCAATACAACTGTAGATGAGTGGAAGAAAATGGCAATTATTAAAAAAAAAAGAACAAAGCACACTTAGCAATGTGGTCTCCTTCTTCTTTTTTTACCTTCTCAGAATAGCTTCCAAAATTTGGTATTTTTGCTAAGGATGATCATTGAGCCAACTGATTTTTTCATATTTATAGACACCTGTTTATAACATGGAGGATGAACAGTGATATAAAGCACAGCTTGATGTCAATAAATAAGTCACTACTAAAAATGACGAGCCAGAAAAGACGTCTGGATTTTTGTTGTCGTTGTTGTGGAAACAACTTATTTTAAAATTAGGGAAAACTCATCCTAAGTTTAACTCTGTCAGGCTGCAGAACACACCTTGTACAGACAATATGAGGAAAAGATCAGGCCCTGCATTGATCTCGTCGACAGCCTGAGAGCTCTGGGGATAGAGAAGGACCTGTCCTTGCCTGCGATCGCAGTGATTGGAGACCAGAGCTCTGGGAAGAGTTCTGTCCTAGAAGCCCTGTCTGGTGTTGCTCTTCCCAGGGGCAATGGTAAGAAGTCACCTTCTCAGGTTTTCACCTGAATTTCACTTTGATGAGATGGGATTTTTTTTTTTTTAATTTTTTTTTGGTCTAGAATTGGATAACTGTGACTGAGAAGTGGATGTGCCAGTGAGGCACCACAAGGTAACCCCCAACAAGGCACATCTTCTGGCTGGTCAAGAGACCAGGAGTAAGGAGTGTAGTGTAGTTGCTCCAAACTTTGGACAGACTGAAAGGTAGCATCAGCTGACTGTGCATTTCCCAGCAAAGAGTATCAGTTTCACGAGGAAAACTACTTTTGAAATTTGCTTTTGGGGTTGGTTTAGGTTTTTTTAACAATATTTTCTTACAGATACCTTTTTTTTTTTTGTAAAAAACATATAAAGACCTTTACTTAAAAACAAAACATCATTTGAGTCAGAGAAGGTTGTTGGAAGACTTTGCAGCTCAAGAAGATTCACTTTTCAGCTCTCTCTGTGCGTGTATATTCGCACGCATAAGTTCTGCGAGTTCTGTGTGAGTTGACAATACCCTCTAATATTTGAGGCTGGACTTGAGGAAAACTTTTCCTAGGATTTAGCTGCAGCACTGAAACAGATCACCCAGCAAAGAGCAAATCTGCCATCTGTGGAGGTTTGCAAGACCAAGCATGAGTGGAAAGAGCCATAGCTGACCTCACATAGTGCCGGTGACAATCCTACTCCGAGTGGGAAGTTGGATGAGACCCCTCTGGCAATGTCACGTAGTACAAGGCTGCGTGTCATGTCCAGCAACTACTGAGTTACCTATTTCTTTGGAACTGCTGCAGGTATTGTCACTCGATGTCCCCTGGAGCTCAAACTGAAGAGGTTACCCGAGGGCCAGGCGTGGCAGGGGAGAATCTGTTACCGCAATGTTGTCATGGACCTCCAGAGTCCCTCTGAGGTGGACAGGGCAATAAGACAAGGTGAGTGGGTTTGGCTTGCTCAGTCTCCTCCAAATCAGGATGATCCATGATGATCACAGAACCACAGAAGGGTTTGGGTTGCGAGGGACCTTAAAGATCATCTGGTCCCAATCCCGGCACTGTGGGCAGGGATGCCACTTACAAGATCCATGATCCTTTTATCCATGATACAGGATCAGGGTGTGTTCTTAGCTGGGTGGTGTCTTCCTGCTTTCCTGGTCTGGGGAGGTTGTCTGTCAAACTGTAAACATGCAAAGCCCCAAATGGTCCCTGTCATCAGTTCAAAAGCTCAGAGATTGCTTGAGGTGTCTCTGGCTGGAAATCTTCCAATTTTGGAGAAAATTGCAAGAAGGCAGAGTGGAAACCATGGAGAAATCCTGGCAGGTACTGTGACCATGGCCTCAATCATTGTCCTTCCCACGTCACAGCTTTACTGTTATGGCATTTCATGCTGAGTAAGAAATCATTGTTCTTACCCAAAGGGCAGTAAGCACTTGCCCTAAATGTGAAAGTTGGATTGTCCTTATTTCCTTGAGACTAGCACAGCTCTGCACAGTCATTCTTCCTAGGTTGTTGGGTTTTTTTCATTAGCTTTTCAATATATTATTTGGATATTCTCAAGTTATCTTTCCAAAACAGGCAAGGCAACTGGTATGAATTAATTAAGGTAATTACAGGGATGAAAATCTCTCATGAGAATGGCTGTGGGTTTCCTTTGCCTCTCTGTGCTGCTCACAGTTCCAGCATTATTGCCTTGTAGGATTTGGGACAATTTACTTGATCTCCGAACCTCCCTATCAAAGTGTAAAGAATATAGAACAACATCTGTTTGTCTTTCAAGGCATCCAAGGATTAATTAATGCCCAGAGAGTGTCTTGTTGTTGGGGAAGCATTTCTACAGCTGACCAGTATTTTATCTGATCCCTTTTGCTGTGGTTTATTTGCATGTATTTTGTCTCCATACATGAGAGTTCATAAATATGTGCTCTGTAAAATATTGCAGTTCCTATCCCAAAAGGACCTCACGTGTGCTGCCTAATAATTTCCTTAGACTTTTGCATAAGTGGATTTATGTGTGTGGCCGGATCTGAGAGAAAAAGCCAAGCCTGAAAGAACCTTAGGTGGTAGTCAGGCACTTTTCAAAGTCGGTGTGTTAAGCTTTGGTTTGATGTGGAGTTGAACCTTGTATTCTTTGCCTTGCTCTTTTCTCCTTGCAGCCCAGGATGTTGTGGCTGGTCCCAGAGGTGCCATTAGTGCAGAATTAATTTCCCTGGAGGTTCGGTCCCCAGATGTCCCAGATTTGACGCTAATTGATCTTCCTGGAATTGCCAGAGTGGCCGTGGGGGACCAGCCGAAAGACATCGGGGAACAGGTAAAACACAGTCTCATGTGCCAATCTGTGCATGGGGACACCTCTGTAACCTCCCTCATACCTGGGCACGTCACTGAACACACTGCAGCCCCACGTTCCTCAGCTAGATCTGGAAGACAAATGCACCCCAGAAAAACTGGTCTCTTACCAGCTCTGTGGATGTATTTGGCAGAGGTGAACAGATCTGAGGTCATCCCTTACTTGCAGAGCACATCAGAATCAGACCCATCCTGGGTTTTCTCATCCTTTAAGGGATCCCAGCAGACCTTTTTGGAAGTAAACAGAATAAGTGTTAAAGTGGAGGGGATCTCTACTCTTCCTCTGGCTGCTTTTAGAAGAAATGCTGGGGAATGCAAATAAAACTAGTTGGACAAGGCCCACTGTGAGGGTGACGTGCAGGAAGTGGGTGTTCTGTTCCTCCTAAAATGCCTTTAAATAGGAGCTTGGAATAAGAGGAGCCCAAACTAGACTAGACATACCAAATAAAAATGAGACAAGATTGGGTTGTCTGGGCTTTACTTTCTGGGAGGAGAGTAATTTAGTTTCAGAGTTAGATATTAATCTTTCTACTGTATTCAGAAGCAAGCAGCATCTGTGACATGATCCAAACATTTCCATCATCCCCAGCTGTCTGCACACTTCAGAGATGGAGTCTGTAGCATTGTAGCATGTCAGAAACTGGGGTGGACAGGAGGTAGAAAAGGGAGGTATCTTTAGCAAAACCCAGGGGGAAAAAAAAGTGTTAATTTACTTCAGAATAAACACAATAGAGCTGTGTGAAGCTGTTGTAAAACAACACAAATTGTGAAAAACTTGTTTAGTTGGGCATTGAAACATAGAAACAATGGCAACTAGATATCATGGGCTACTTGGTTTTTGGCTTTTTTTTGTTTCCCTACAAATACTCCACTGAAATAAAAGCCAGACATTTGCTCTCCTTTCAGAGGTACAAATTTGAGATTTATCAATGTAATCTAGCTTGCTTTCTTTCCATGAGTGTGTATCTAGACATCAGAACCTGATTTTCTTACATATGGCTATTTATCAAATATCTTTAATACTTCCATAATTAAAGATTACTTGCACGAGAGGTTAAACTCTATATAGTTGTCAAGACAGGCATAACAACAGTCTGGTCTCTGTTCATGCCAACTGTTTGGATAAGGATGTTTACATAGGAAAAGAGGCTGCATTCTTCTGCTGACCCATTTCCATGCCATCCTTTAGCATGTAATACCATCCTCAGCATATGTGGCATTTAATGTCATCAGACAGGGGCTCAAATTGCTAGAAATGGTCACATCCTACATGCAAGCATCTGATTTCACTGCTGTATTGCATTGCAGATCAAAATTCTCCTTAAAAGAATTATTGGTTGCAAAGAAACAATCAATTTGGTAGTGGTGCCATGTAATGTGGATATTGCAACGACAGAAGCCTTGAAAATGGCCCAAGAGGTGGATCCCAGTGGAGAAAGGACAATAGGTAAGACAACTTTTAAGCTACAAGTTGAAGAGAAGGGCAATTTTTTTTCATGAGGACTCATGTTCTGTGTCCCACACCAGATCTGTGACATTAGCTACTAGAAGAGGAGGGGGAAAAAAAGGAAAACAGCCTAAATAAACTATTTACAAAGCTTAAGTAGCTCCAAGAATAAGAATAAGAGTAAGAATAAGAAAAAGCCCTTGGTTTTGTGTCTTGCTGGCATTCACATTACGAATAATTGGAAATTTCAAATCTCAAAGTTAATGGTAGGAAAGCTTTGCCTGTTAAAAAAGGTTTGCAAGGCAAAAGGCCTGGTGGAAGGCCAAATGTAGAGCAAGTTTTACAGGGCAAAGCCCAGGGGCTGAGAGCTTTCTAGGAGAGAGAAAACAGACAAAAACTCCTTTGTGAAACATGGTACAGAGCGTTCCTGCTTGGCGGGGGGTGTTTCTCCTGCACCTCTCCCACCTGTAACTTCTGCACTCGACTAAACTTTGGGTCATTTCACAGGGATCCTCACCAAACCCGACCTGGTGGACAGAGGAACTGAAGAGTCTATAATCAGAATAATGCAAAACATGGTAATCCCTCTCAAAAAGGGTTACATGATCGTGAAGTGTCGTGGGCAGCAGGACATCCACAACAAAGTGACCTTGGCCTCTGCAATCCAGCAGGAGAGGAACTTCTTTGCGAGTCACAGACATTTCAGGTACCTCCCACAGAAAAAAATCCACTTAAAAACATATTAAAATCGCTTCAAAGCTTCCTGTTGATTTGCTGAGATTTAACTCCGGGTTGCAAACAGGTACTCATTATAATTATGTATTATATTTCTCATTTCCCGCGTAGTGTTGTGTTTCAGCAACCCAGAGGAATTTTTTACATAGCAAATAAACTTTGGAAATGTTTTCTGGATGCAAAATACATGGGAGAAGTGCGATGAACTTTAGAAGTTCAGAATAGCCCCAAGGAATTTAACTTAAGCATCTGAACACTTCAAGTCAAGCACTTAGGTGTTTCTTTTCACTGGAAAACGTGGTGAAACACAGCATGGAAAGGCCACTGCCTGTGCTGAGGGCACAATCTGCCCAGAAGACGAGTCAGCAGCAAATCAATCATAATACAGAGGATGGCCAGATGAAAAGGGCTTTGAATCAGTGAACTTCACACATGCAGAAACGATGCAGCAGCACATCCATCTGCTGTTAGGATTTGCTGTTTTCGGATTCTTCTCTGCTTCCCTTTGCTTAGCCAGGAGCTGTCAAACAACTCGTGAATAGAAGTGCCCAGAGGGTCCTGAGCTGCTGCCACGTCTGTACCAGCACTCCCCAGAGGGCTCTTTCTTTAATCAAGTTGCTTAATAGAACTAGTGAAAATAGAGCAGAGCATCAGTGCTGCCTCCTTGCCCTGCACATGCTGGCTACCCAAAACCCACCTCTTCCTCTTTTTTTTGCAGTGTTCTTATGGAAGAAGAAAAGGCTACTATCCCTCATCTGTCGGTGAAGCTCACAAATGAACTCGTGAACCACATTATTGTAAGTAACAGAGGTACCACACTAAGCTGTTTGTATCAGTTACTGCCTAAAAATGAGTTCAACCCTTCGACCTTGGAATGCAATGGAACTGCAGTTGGGTTGCAGCTTTCTGTGCATAGATAGTGCTTAATGATCCTTCAATCTGGCAGTCTGAGAACAAACTGAACTGAGAGTTAGAGGTAAAAAACCCCCATGCTCTGTCCTCAGATTTGCCTTTAAACTGCAGATCATTTCATCTACTTGTGACTCATAACTCCTGCCTTTTCAATGGCAGCCATGATTTTTCCTTTTGTTTATAAGGAGTGTTGATCATCTGGGTGACAAGGTACTGCCATCACCTTACTGAAACACAGTCGTTTCTATTTAACTGAAAATGTCTTCAAAATTTCTAGTAAGATGTAATTGTTCTATTATATTACCATACTACTGCAAGTACATTGGTGTTTTTATTTTATATTAATTTATCTGTAAGTAATATATTTTATTCCACTAAGGGAAGATGCTAAAATATAGGGAACCTCTAAATTCAGTCTCAAAGGAGAAAAAAAAATATTTCTTTATGTAAACTTAGAGAAAATAAGCCAGACATGTTCAACCTATGTCAATGCCCTTCTTTACTGACCACTCTCCAGAAAACTTTGCCAGCGCTGGAAACCCAAATACGTGAGAAGCTCCATAAAACGTTACAGGACCTACAAAGATACAATAGAGGAACACCCAAAACAGAGTCTGAGAAGCTGATTTTCCTCACAGATGTAAGTATCAGTATTAGTTTGGTCAGGGAGCAGAGCGAGGAGGTAGAAAAAGTTATCGAAACATCAGCATGGACCACCAGGAAGTTTGTGGTATCTGCCACTGAAATGCTTTGAGAGTAAGATGGGCAAACCTCTTTCAGGAATACAACATACCTGCAAAAATAATGGACCAGAGAACCCCGTGGCCCATTCCAGCAATTTTTTTCCCTGTGATTATATGACAAGAAAATGAAACAGTTAATTGGTCAAAATCAAGCATCTCAGAGAGGGAAAATTTACCCTCCTGCCTGCTCAACACTTTGAAGGGTTTTCATTGTTTACAGCACTTGTAAGTTCAAGTGTATTCCTGATATCAAAATATGGTTTGCAAGTCCATCTAAGTTGTCTCATCTTGGGGAGTTAATCCCTCACAGTAAGCCTTTGGTAGAGGTGTTTGTGAAGCCTCACCAGTCTTCAAAGACTTCATACAAGTCTGGTCAATTAGAATTTAGTAAATGGTTCTAAAAGTCTATGGGGGGGTAGGGAGGGGAAAGAGTATCAAGTTTGTTCTCCTGTAGCTGTGATGGTTTTGTAAAAAAAAACCCCAAAAACCCAAAGCCAAACAAACCAGGAGCTGAGGGCATAAAATATATAAGGAAAGGATGTTTTCTATGAACCATGCCCCTGCTTTAATTCACTTACACAAATTAGTCTGAAGAAATGAAAGTTTGCTACATTGCTTGCTTTTTCTTTAATTCATTACAGTTGATCAAACTCTTTAACCAAGACATCTCTCGGACAATGCGAGGGGAGGAGCAGCTGTTTGGGGATGAAATCAGACTGTTCACGAAAATCCGCCGAGAGTTTCGAACGTGGGGAGCGATTCTCCTGGAGTGTGCTGAGAAGGGTAAGCACAGAAACCATCACTTGCAGCTGACCTGAGAGTCCATTCCCTTGCTTTTAAATCCAGACACAGCATCATCAGTAGGTTGTTTTCAAGAAAGTGAAGAACAAGAAGCTACAAGCAAATTATAGTGGTGTAGTGTTAGGCAAGTTATGTTTTGGGAACAAAGACATGGAAAGTTGTCATTACAGAGAGATCAGTGGATGTCTCTCTTCTCCCAGTGAAGCAATAAAATCAAGACCCAGAATTTGTTGGTGATTCTCTGAACCACTCTTTCAAATAACAACACCACCAGCACCAATTAATAATAATAATAATAATAATAATAATAATAATAATAACAACAACATCATTATTATTTTCTATTATTTTTATTCATAGTAATATGAATGTTTTAGAATCTGGGTCTTTTTTTGTTCCACTTTAGCTCTAGTTTAAGGTGTGGAGAACGTAATTCTGGGTCTGAAATAGCCACAACCTTGCCAAGAATGTTGCACCTTGCTAATTGCTTAACTGAACTCAGTTCTTAATTGGGGGGTTTTGCTGTAGGGTGATACACGCAGACTGAACTCTGTTGTACACTCAACATCCTTTGTAGCACTTTTTTCACATCTCTGAAACCCCATCATTTGCTCTTGGAGATGAAATAGCTTCAGCTGCCAGTCAAGCAGTAGCTCTTTTAACAAGTTCTTTTAGTCTTTGATGCACTTCTGTATCAACCTCACTAGTGACTAAAATGATAAATGATAAATTAAAAACGATAAAAAATGATAGGTACATATAGGTTACAAAGGTGTCATCAGCCAAAGAAAAAGCTATGTGTGTATATATGCACAGATGTGGAGACAGACAGACAGACAGACATGGGTGTATATCAGTGTCTCATCCAAGTAGTACCTTGAAGTAGTAGTAGCACATCCTTGAAGTACCAAGCCAAGCAACAGGATTTTATGAAGAGGAATAAAAAAATAGGACAATGAAGGCATGAAGGAATAGATGTAAAGACAGCAGGAAGCAGAAGGACGCAGCCCCTTCAGAGGACAACAAGCACCTGTGTTGCAGAAGTTACACCAGGCATCACACAGCAGCTGAACCACAGTGGGGAATCCTCTGGGCGCTTCCAGGTTATCCCCCTTGATGTCCAGCTTGGCAATAGGTGGGGGCAGCAGCACCCAACAGCTCTTACAACAGCACAGCTCTTGCTCACAACATGCTGCCCCAAAATCATCGGTGCATATGTCCAGGGAAAGTATTTACATCTTCAGCAGAGCAAGTTCACTTACGTAGCTTGAAAACTAGAGGTGGCTTTAGCAAGACCTTCCTCAACGAGAAGCGCTGGTATCAGTCACTGCTTAAGACTTCTGAAGGTACATCACTGAGTGTCAGATGATTCTGTTTAACTTCAGCTTTCTTATGATGAATTAAAGTATTAAAAATAGCAAATACTTTGGATACTCGAAACCTTGAACTTTCTGTTCCAAAGCTGATGGAGGTTCATGTTGATTTGTGTTACCGTAACTGTACAGGTATGTTTTTAGACTGAACAAGACACTCCACATCTATTTCTGTCTTTTCCTTTTCTTTTGAGTTTTTTCATTATCCAACCATAGATTCATATATCTGAACATTAGAACTGAATGGATTCATGGCTTGACTTCTACTTCCACACGTGCCCTTGATCCATGATTCACAAATCTGACCCCAAAACAGGGCAATATCAAAACCATTCAAAAATATGTAAACCAATTCAAAGGGATATAACTCATTTAAGAGGGCAAATGTGTATAATGTCAACAAAGAAATACTGACTGTTTTAAATATTGACTATTTTAAACAAAAATAGCTAGTCAGCAGTAGATTCCCTGGAATAGGTATTTAGTGAGCTTGGGAGCCTGTTTTGTTCTGGGGTTTTTTTAAACTTGGAAGTGAGGTGACTCATTCACTGAGCAACAATGTGTTAGCTCTGTTCTGTAATAACAGCGTTGCTTGAAATATCATCTCAGCAGTTGCTCTTCTCAAGAACAACTCAAGAGGAGAATTAGACTTCCTTCTCAAATGTGGAATGTGTAGATTGAGTGATTTGGTAGTAAAGCAAGGTTGTTTTACTATTACAGCTAAGAAAAGTGTACCCAGTAAAGCAAACAAATACGAAGACCAGTACCGTGGGAGGGAGTTCCCAGGCTTTACCAACTACAGGACGTTTGAGGACATCATAAAAGAGCAAATCCTAGAACTGGAGGAGCCAGCCATTGAGATCCTGAACAACGTGATCCGTACGTCTCGCAGCCCACGGGAGGCTCTTGTGTGGGATACACTGGGGTGCCTCACAATTGTTTTTTTTCCCAGGATAAGCTGATGATAACGCTCTCTCTGCTGGAGCAAGAGCTCCAGTCAGGATACTGCAGAGTGGGGGAGTAAATCTGATTCAACCTGGGGACTTCCCTCTTCTCTAAAGCCTTCGTCCTCTCCAGCATTTGTTAATATTTTTCCCAGTAGCTCTTGAAAGGGAGTTAGAAAGTAACTTTAATAAATAACACAGTAAGAAAACAGTATAGTAGAAGTACCTGGTGCCAGCCAAGCAGCTTGGAATTCCCAGACCCAGGGAGTGGAATACACAAACCTGAACTGGGAATGCATCTTCTTTGATGACATTGTATGTGTTATACAGTGATTGCTGGGGCTGGGGGGGAGAGTACAGTAGCTCATCCAGTAAAAGGCACCCAAGGAAAAATGATGTCGTGATTCTGTCTCTGCTGTGTTGCCTTAAAGGGCAGCAATCCCATGCCAGACTTGCTGCTCTGTACTCCATGTGCCAGCAACTTGTCCTGGAGAGGCCACTTGGGATAAGATACAGATGTGCTGACATGGCCAAGTGATGGTACATTTGGTGGGTACAGCTGTAAGCACAGAAATTGCTCTGTCAAAGAAATCTCTCTCTCAGGTGTTAAGTGGTTACAGGAGGTCTTTAATTGCTCACAGTCTTGGACCTGGAAATCTAAATTCCTCCTTGTCTGTATTGGCCATAAAGGCACAGTGCACCTACAGCTGCTCATCTATTGCTGAATGAATACAGGAAATGAGTAGTTCTCCCAAGTCTCATATTAAAAATAGCTTAAAATCCTCGCTTATTTACCTGACTTTATTTTGTCTGTCTGTTCTTCCCTTAGAACTGGTTGAAGAGAAATTTATGGAAATCGTTCAAAGGAATTTTGCTAATTTTCACAATCTAAGCAGAGCTGCTAAGGTGAGACACTACCTATA